ACACTTCCAGCTGAGCTCGTAGACGGCAGGACGGTGTGGGAGGGCAGTCCCACCCCCCTAAGAAGCACTGGGCCTTGTTTGCCAATGACCGAGTAGTATACGCTAGAGAATTAATGTTTCTTCAATGCCCCCCTTTTCTGGTTTCGTTGGCTGGTTGTTGTCGGGGCCAGACGCCGTTGCGCTGTCCGTGCAAGGCGCGGGACGTGGCCCTTAATGCAGCGCTGTAGGCGGCCTTGAACTCAATTTGCCATTTGTCACAACTGGATTGCTGCATCGTGAAACGGAACTTTATTTGGGTAAGATTGCAGAACAAGACGTTCAGCGTCTTGTTTCAATTAACAAGATTAATCACAATAGATTGCAGAGCAAATCATAAACGTTCGGTCCTCCCCTCTCAGTTATAGAGAGACACTTCTTTATCTACGCTGCAGGAAAACGGAAGAAATCTGGGTATGTTTACTTTAAATTAATAAATAGGTCGAATGTATTTTATTTAGTGCAAATGGCTCGATAGCATTGAAATTAAAAATATGCAATATATTTCGGATCTCTTATTGTGACCCAGTTTAGAAGAAACTTTGATCATGTTTTGATGAATACCGGGAAATCATAGTTTGTAATTTGAAACGGTACATGGAATACCTTAATCATACGGCGACCTTTCAAAAAATCTATATATTACGTAAGACGAATGAAGGTACACGGCCATATTTCGATCTGTAAGTGTACCTACATATATCGATTACTACTTGACCTCTGCGACTATTTCTCGTTCGATAGTTGGAGACACGAAGAAAATGCTTTGAAATTTTCATATGCACTCACGAAACATACTTTTAACCCCGTTTGGAGTCCGTTCAAGGCATCTTGTTGCAAAATAATATGTAATATTGGATGCCGTGTGGATGCCGTTGTGACAAACCCCAGGATAATATACAAAACAATTCGTTTAGGAAAATCAGTATTTAGCATCGGTGAAATCTCCATTCAGTACAAGGAAGTATCATTCGCGCCATCGTTAATTGCCGTTTTGCTTCAATTTGCCATTTTCTTTGGAATTTTATTTTTTTGTTTTTTCTTCCTCTATGATTCGTTTCAATTTTGATCCACTTTATTTATTATTTTTAATTTTCAGCTTTGATTGTACATCGCTTTTTTATTTTGTTCATTTTCTGATTATCACTTGCATGTTTTTGTTTCTTTTGCCTTCGCCGGGCCGGGGTGCGCGCAGGCCGTGCAGGGCATCCTGTGCTTGGTGCTGGGCTCCACCTACAACATCAACAAGCCCAAGGAGCAACGCAAGGCCAACGCGTGGAACAATGTAGTGCTGGCTCTCAACGTGCTCATCACGGGCGTCAACGTGGTGCTGAGCGCCTTCGACATGCGCTCCAGTGACATGCTACGCGCCCCGCCCCCGGCCGCAGTACGAGCCGCCGCGCTGCCGGCGGCTGCACAGCCCGCCGCCACGGCCCGCAGCTCGCTGAGCGCAACAGAGAGATGCGACATCGACAACAAGACAGCCATGTTTCCAAACATCGATGCTCAAAATTAAAACATGGGTGTTAACAAAACATCGGCCCACAACCATCGTTATTAAAGATCGATGTTTTTAAAACTGTGTAGGAAGTAACAATTTATCACGTGAGGGGGATTTAATTCGAAAGTGGTATCATTTACTAATTTTTATTTGAGATATATCTGGCGAAACAAAAAATGAAGACAATTTACAAAAATTTGATTTGTTTATAAGATAGCAAATCAAAAATAATACAGGTCATATAATAGATGTGTTTAAAGTGACCTAAATAAATTATTTTAAAAATACAGATTTCTTTAGTGACGAAAATGCGATTTTATTTATTTTTCCTTTCACTCTTCGGAACAAAGTGACCCTTGGGAAAGTGAATATTCAATTTATGGATATGTGAAAATCATGGAATTTTAGTATATGGTACTTACTTCATTTAAAAATATCACCCACGAAAAAACATCGATCACATAACATCGATGTTAAAAATATATCGCCTTCAAATTATCGAAGTTAAATACATGAATGATTTTATTTAAAAAATCGATGTTTTAAAACATCAACATCAATGTCGCATCTCAAATTGCATACATTATCTTTTCGTTCGAATTTATGGCAATTTACAAGTTTATATTCGGGATCATTCTCAATATGTGATGCGACAGCCAGGTTGATTCATGTCGCCCGTGTCTTATTTACATCGCAGTATCGAATAGTTTTATATGGGCATGACTTCTTTGCGGTACGAGTGGTCAAAATGGGCTTTGCTGCACGGGCGAAGTAACTTTTTCCAACAAACAAACATAAACACTAATTTCCATGCAAGAGTGCTCAAACAACTATTTTTAAACTTATATATTTTAAAGATTCAATAAACGGACTGTTGCGATAAAATATGTGGAAAAACTTAATACAATACATATTTTGACCCCATGTGGCATAGAAATTTGAAAAATACTCGAGGTGGAAGTAGGGGACAGATAGAAAATTCTAAATCTGTGAACAACATTCGGCAAACTTTCGGTTGGAATATGGAAGTTCATGTGTTAAATCATTTGTAAAACATACTTGAAGTATAGAGAATTCTTAATGTAAAGCATTATTGTTGAATAAAAATCTTATATTTTACGCTTGCCATTGATCGTGTGCCATTCCCTAAATTCAAGATGGCAGACCTTAATTTCACATGTGACAGTAATTTAAGTTTATAACCCCATTGCCACAAAATTCCTTTCCCCTAGTCCAACAAGCACTTAGCAATGAGGGGAGGGGGTCCACAAACCCAATAATAAATTTGCAATATAATTTAAACAACATTTTATGTATTTAAGAATGAATGAAACGTATATTTACCATTAGGGGGCGGATTCTATTGACTCAAAATATCGTCAAACATGCTCAATACAATGATCTTAAAAGTTTTAAAAATGCCCTAAAGCAAAGAAGAATTACGTAAAAAATGTGGTCAAAACCAGTTCAGTTGCACAACTCGAGCTGTTGGATATATTACTAATGTCATCGAGGCTTCTTCCTTTCGTTCAAGTGAACTCAGTCTGCAAACGTTTGGTGTGGACTGTTCTTTACCAGGAAGTTTCTGCCTTTATTCATCGCAAAATCTGCGAACCGACATGGCGCTGATAGGCGTCATGGGAAACTTAGATTTCGTGATACTTACAATGGCTGACATTACGAGGCATGAGCGAAGAAATCGAATAGGCTACTCAGGAAATATGTGATCAGCATATGTTGCATCTCGTAAATATTAATTAAAGCAAGTGCCATTAAAATGATAGTAAAAGCAATGAAATAAGCGGAAAATTCATTAAAAGCGATGGAAAAAAGTAAAAATGACTCATTAATAAAAACAACGAAACACTGCAACAAAAAGACATAAAAATGGGCCATTTTCTTTTGTCATAACAACTTAATGTCTAATGTCTAAGTCTTAATGTCTAATGTCGCATACTAAACGGCATTGTCCTAACGTGAGAAGAAAAAAATGACATTTCTTTGAAATCTGCCCCTATTTGTCAGTAAATTGCAATACTTTTCTGCAAGTGTTAAAATATTTTCATATTCTGCGGTAATGAGAGGGCAAATATTTGTTGAACATTTTCTGTCCATGCGACCCTTTTCGCGAAGACAGGCAGCCGCGTCCCTTTTTCATTTGTAGAAGTAGTTCCACTCCCACTATGCTGCAGCAGACGCACGACACTTCTGTAGGTTGGCAGACGCGAAAGGAGATTTTGCTGAACGACAGCAAGGCCACACAACGACAAGAAGCGACGACGCAACGCAACACGAAACTCACAAGGGCTCACAAGGTTTTTAATAATATAGGTCCTAAGAGTGAAACTTCTTTCTAAACAAGACAGAGGAAACAAATCAACGACAACAATAGCAAACAACCTTTGATGAAAAGTCGTTTAAAGAAAATATTTGTTAACAAATGAATGTTTTATGTAAACCATGTAAATAAACCGTCTACAATCAAGAAGGGCTACTTGTTAAATCTGGAAACATACAACGTTGAGATGCATCGTTGAGCCCCACTGCTCTGCGACAGTGAAGGGATGACTCCAATGCACTGGCATGCAAGCACGTTCTCTTTTGTTTGAGTCGCTGACCGTGTCGTCCGCCAGTCTTTGCCTTCCAGCCGCACCCCCACAGGACCGAAGCAGCCTCCTCGCACACACCACCCTAATTCAACGGTGTGGAACCGCTCGTCCTCCAGGAGACAACTTTCCCTTCCGTTTCACCTTTCGTATCGCTCCTCCTGGAGCCATCGACTGCGAGGGTTTCGAGGTGGAGCCCCGGCGGCGGCAGGATTTGCGACACAGCCGTAGAGCTAGGGCGAGTTCTGCCACGGTCAGGACACGAACTGTGGTGATGAATACCAGTCGAATGACGCGAACTTTCCTTTCCCTTCCTTGTCCAATCCTCCCCTTTCTTATATACAAATACACGCACTACTCTACCACACATGCTGAGATATGATCCATGCTAAGATCCGTCGGGAGCTTACGACTGGTCCCGGCTGGGTGCCCAGCTAATGGGAGGAGATACCTGGTTGAGGAAACCTCATAAACCGACGTGTTGGTCGTTTCCGTATCTCGTCATCTAACGGGGAGACATCACCTCCTGTAATAAAAGCATGTTCTATAATTATGGGACGTGCTGTTTACACACCTGGAATCGCGAAATAAAGGCCCATTCACAATGCAAACATTAACATAAGTATGGCGTTAATATTGAAGTTAGGACTACTTCCACAGGCGGACTCATTCACAATGCGTTTATCTAAGCATAACACGTAAGACCTTAACTTAGAAACCTGCAAGCTTGAAGCGTCTGTGCTTATACTTAAATAAGACATAAGAAATGACCAATCACAGTACGTTAACTCAAAATCGAGAATCGACATATGATCGAAGTCGCTAGACGAACGCCATAAGGGCACGGACACAGTCGATATCTCGCAATCGATTCTCACATCCAACCATTAGTAAACTTGAGTGTCTCACATCTAATAGAAATTCTTATTGTGCTTACGTTCATGCTAGACATTGTGAATACTTGAGTCTATCACTTCTGTTAATGTTTATGTCTACGCGCCATGCTTATGTTTACTTTTGCATCGTGAACGGGCCTTAATCAATCAACCCTTCCCCGCGCCCTCCTCTCCTCCCTTCGGAGCGAGCAAAGGCTCTGTTCGCTTTGCGCCCACGTCCTCACACGTCGGCGACGGCTCCTCCCGACGGCCCGCGTGCGCCCCGCGCCACGCGCCGGAGAAACCACACCTGTCATTCTTCTGTCGGGGTAGCTGTCAATGTGGTAAGCTACGTTGTTGTCCTACAGTTACATTTCTTGTGCTCTCTGAGTGTCGAGTGTTTGTGCTACGATAGTGCGAATAAATTTGTTTTTCCACGCGCTCCGCCGAAAAGGTGTTTGACCAGATTATTCAAATTTTCTTATTTACTTATTAAGTAGATATTAACTTGACCGTTTCATAGTTCTCTCTGAAAATTCCCTCCATGAGAACATCTAGCAGCCTTTAACGATTTTCGTATTTCCCGCGCAATGTGTGGTCGATGCGCAATGTGTGGTCGAGAGATGGGGATTCTGCGTAAAGCAGAAATGCAGAAGAAATATAGTTCACATTTATGTAATATTTATATTTAAAATGTTGTGATACAGCACCACACCACAACGTAACTTCAAATGCATTTGGAAAGAAAAATCTCTTACTTTTGAAACTTAATCCCACTTCCTGACTTCTGGAGTTCTTTGCAATCGAATGTTCTTTGCAATTCTGTGCACGTTGTCTTAATACTGGGATTCCCACCCTAAGCCATATACAAGTGGAATTCGGAATACAGAAAGAATTGAGTGATTTTGGCAAGAATTAAACCGATGTAATAAAATGTATTTTCAAATGCAAACATAGAATTGGATTCTTATCCCTCCTGACGACCTTCGTGAAGGAATATACGACTACTTCTGCCGCAACAATATGTAGAACGATAATTTGAATAACTATATTTCCCACTGATCTCTAGAAGACGTGCACAGATAATGAAGCTATATTTATTTTCTCAACAATAATTACATTTATAATTTCTCAACAATTAAAGATTAAAAAGTTCTCTGTCCTATTACAGTGTCTTGCACGAATATTTGGCTAATCATTTTACACAATAAAACGTATGTTTTCTCTTATTTGATGATACATGAATTACTACAGACACACATTAACCCTATTAACAAAGATTCAAAAATACAAGCAACGAATTATAATAGCATCTAAAATAAATATACAAAATCATATAACTTAAAAATACAAACATTACATTTCTTCGATAAATAAAAAATTCATTACTTTACTACGTTAATTTTTTGATGCCTTTAAAAGTTTCGTAATAGATTTTTATACA